TTCTGCCTACCGGAAGTTTTTTCTTCTGACTTGCTCTTAGATCTGTGGGTCGCGGAGGTCCTCTGGCCGCTGCTCCGCTCTTGTACTTGAGGCTGGGAGTGTCTTTGGTGTCCCGAGTTGTGATTTGTACACAGTGTTGAGTCTCCACGACAGTTGACAGGATCATCTCTGCCGTTCCTCCGACTATCATGACTCACGACGGAGGAATGAACTTTATCTAACGCATGAGGGTTCCTGTTCTGCTCACTAGAGTTTCTCACTTGTAAGTTACGACCACTAAAGTTGCGACTGTTCCTCAGTTGTGAACTACCAGCTGGGTTACGACTGGACGAAGAATAAGTTCCGTTCTGGTGTATATCTAAAGGCTCCAGCTGAAAGCCTTTACTACTGAAGTGGTTATGTAACAGATGTCTTATGTCACTTTGGTTGGTGTGTGAGTGACCAGCTCGAGAGGTCTGGTGGGGTCTGGCTGCCTCACCTCGTCTACTGTGTACCGGCACCTTAGAGTTCTCAACACTGCCTATTTTCCCATACCCCGACTTTGTACTTAACTGTCTGTGCTCTGTGGACCTTAATTTCTGCTTTTTACTAATTACTGGACTCAAGTTTTTATTCCACTGCATTCTTTCCATATAATTTTCATCCAAGCCATTATAGTCTTCCTGTAGATTATAGTATTTGTACAAGTGACCGTTATAATAATTGGGAGAACCGTTTTCTATGGTATGAGCAGGTAGCGTTCGTTTTCTGTGTCCAACTTCACCGTTACACTGAGAATTTTGGAGATTTAGTGGATGCCGTTCCTTTGGGTAGTGGAGAGGGGGTTGTATAACTTCCTGAGATTTTAATGGGAGGGAAGAGGTCTGTGAATGTCCTCGAACAAATGGAGAAATACCAGACTGTCTGTGTCCACCCCGAGGCCAGTTAGCTGAGGGTCGTCTGGTGGACCTGTTGCTGTGACGCATTAGACCATTCCTGCCCCCAAGGATCGACCTGACGAAGTTGTTCCTCTGGCTCTGTGTGTGGGAGTTGTAGGAGGAGTCAGCCTCACCATCACTGCTCACGACCACCAGTTCATCACTATCGTCCAGAGACCGAGACAGAGGTGGGTCGTCGAAGATAAACCTGCGGACCTCAACGTCACCTCCACTGCTGGTCAATGACGGTCGCAGCTCAGAACCGAAATCCTTGAGCTCGTCCTTGAGGTCATACAACTCCCAGGGGCTTATCGGGTCACTATCCTCCTCCTCCTCTTCCTCCAGGTAAGACGATTTGGAGAGATAAGCGAGGGGATCTGCCGGGTCATCCTTATGGCTGTAGGAGGCGGTGTAGGAGACCTGGTCCTTCAGGGTGTTCCACAGTCGCAGGAGCTCCAACGGGCGCTCCCAGCCAGCCACCACACGAACTACAGGACGAAGGAGAGTTATTAGTGAAGGATCATGTGTTATACCTCATACAGTGACGCCATAACACCACAAGAGGCTGACCCTCCCCCCTCTCACCTACACCCAACTGAGGCCAAAATAGAGTGTTTGAATCCTCCCAAGAGAACTTTATTTATTATATGGAAACTATTTACATACACACACACACTTTATGACCGTAATTTGTTTATAATGACTTTAAGGTCTTTAGTAAACAACGGGGTTATCATTATTTACACATAACTGAATACCCGATGACGAGGATGAGTTTGGAGGGTTTATTCACAAAGGTTCTTAAGGCAACAGGTTCTTACGATAAAAAGTTCATTCGATAAATATTCCTCGCAAGTGAAGACTCGAGAATTCACCGAACTGATTAACTTAAAAGCTCAGGCATAAAAACACAACACATCAGAATCACTTAATACAAACACTTAACACTTTTTAAGGAGACGAACACCGAGAATCTTAAGGTTATATTTTCACTTACGAGAATATTCAATCACACCAGTCTGTCACACCTGGATGCCTACCTGTACAGTAATTGAAAAGAGTAACGGATGCCCTCAACTTATTTACATCAATATGAAAACAAGAGTACTGTAGTAATAATCGTAATCACAATAATAGTAGTAGTAGCAGTAATAATAATAATAATAATAATAATGATAACAGTAGCTTAATAAAACTGATAATAACATTGAGCCTTTTAGAAGACACACGACAAATTATAGTGATTACCTAACCCCAGGGTAATTAACTACATAGCCCCAGAGTAATTAACTACCTAGCCCCAGGGTAATTAATTACATAGCCCCAGAGTAATTAACTACCTAGCCCCAGGGTAATTAACTACCTAGTCCCAGGGTAATTAACTACCTAGCCCCAGGGCAATTAACTACCTAGACCTAGTGTAATTAACTACCTAGCCCCAGTGTAATTAACTGTAATTAACTACCTAGAGTGTAATTAACTACCTAGCCCCAGTGTAATTAACTACCAAGCCCCAGGGTAATTAACTACATGGCCCCAGGGTAATTAACTACCTAGTCCCAGGGATATTAATTCCCTGATATTTAACCGCAGGACAATTAACACCCTGATCCCAAGTAGAGCCAGGAAGCTGTGAAGGACGCACCTCCTAGCGGGGAGTCCTCCAGCAGGTGAGGGAGGGGGTCCCCAGTGTCCCTGACGCAGGCGGCCACGTCCCTGAAGGTGGTTAGCGGCGTGAGAGGCACCCACGACACCCCTCCGTCCTCGCGCTTCACGCCCAAGATCTCCTGCAGAAGGGAGGAAGTCTGTGTTAGCTGGCGGTGATGAAGGGGGGGGAGGGAGGGTGGGAGGGATGTGGACCGTGTATACAGAGAGGGTAAGAGAAGGATATACATGTGCACAGACTAGACACACACACACACACACACACATAAGAGAGAGGATGTGCAGGAGGAAATATCTTCACGTTAGCTCCTGAGGGTGAGGCACAGGTGGGACGGAGGCCAGGTAGGGTGAGAGAGGACAGAGGTGAGTTTCACGTCCACACACACACACACACACACACACACACACACACACACACACACACACACATAAGAGAGAGGATGTGCAGGAGGAAATATCTTCACGTTAGCTCCTGAGGGTGAGGCACAGGTGGGACAGGAGGCCAGGTAGGGTGAGAGAGGACAGAGGTGAGTTTCACGTCAACACACACACACACACGACTTAAGTACCGCACCTACTTAACCATATACTGTATAATTTATATATCAATTACGCCATAGTCTATATTGTTAAAATGTTTGTTTACATCTATTTAACAACATTGATTTACGTTCGCCAAGCATTTTCCACCTAATTAACGTTAATACTGTTATCACTACTTGTACTCTTATCATTATAAGTCATTAAATGTAATATCTCGCTTTATTTTCTCCACAGTATATAACACTAAAGGTATTATTATAAAAGTATTATTCAGTGTATTATGGAGCCCTGCCAGCTGTTATAACACACTGTATCTAGCATGTAATATTCCCAACCAGAAGACCTTATCACACCTACCCTAACCTAACCCAACCTTCACACCTAACCTAACCTAACCCAACCTTTAGACCTTTAGTATAACCTAACCTAACCTTCCTTAAGATCACCCAGTCTATTGTTCGTCCTGGTGTTGGAAGTCGTTGTGTAGTGTTACCAGTCATGCAGTGTGACCAGCATGACACAGGCTACACACCCAGGCACTAGAGTAGTACTATCATGCCTGGCCACTGTACACGGTGTTTACAAACTCCCTTGTTGTGTGTTGACAGAGGTCCTCCGAGTCACACATCCCAAACAACAGTCAGTGAGCACAGTACTCTTCATTATACAGTGTGTGTTAATGGGTAAACTTACGGGAGGAACTGTACAAAACACACCTATAAGAGTTCTCCTGTAGCGTCTAAGTCACCAAGGACATGATGAAGGACTACAGGTAGTTACGTGTAGAAAATGATGACGTGCTGTACATACTGATGTTCTAGACATTAAATCACTCAAGATACTGTCAACACCAACACTACAACACCCTGTACACCCGAGAACCACTGACAATATCCTCAACACTAATTCAGGTCATTTCCGTCAAAGCTCCAATTTATTTCAGCGGTTTAAAACAGGTCAGGTTCCCATAGAGTGTGCCTTCCCCCCCTCCCCACACCATGACAAGATGCTCTCACTGACACATAAACATCGACCACGAGTCATCTGTGCGTATATCTGAGGCGCCATTAACAGGTGATCAATGAAATACAAGCAGAGATAAGGGCAAGGGAGCAGCGCCTCAGTCTTGGACGAGCTCCAAATCACAGGGTGATGCTGGTGCTTGACTCTCACGTAGGACTGCTGGCACGCCGCTGGGAAATTTCCTGCCATCACAGGTCCTTTACACCGAAATTATCTGATCCTTGAGTACACCATAATGCATTGCTGCTTGTACAACCCATAGTGAAGCGTTGTCGATAACTAAACCTGTACACTGTTGAGGGGGAAGGTTAGAAATAATAATATACAGCTTTAACCTGGCCATGAGGTAATTCTTGGTCATGTTACACTGCAGGAGACGAGACAGAGGTCGTCTAGAAGTCAGGGGAGTTCAGGTATCCAGGCTAATATTCCTAGACCTAGAGTATAAGAGTCCAGCAGGGAAGGATGTGGCAGAGCGGTGGGGAGAAAGATGGCGGAGCTTCTGATTATACCCTAGAAAAGTGAGTAAGGCGGGGGAAATATATCTACACTTGTGGGGACAGAAAAGGACGTGTCATAGAAGCATGGGAAGTGTTCTGAGATATACTAGCTGCCCTGGGAAGCGCATGAGAGGTGCTGGGAAGAAGAGGTGTTGGCATACAGACAAAGTGATGACCGCGGGGTTATATTATATTTACAGTAGTGGAAAGAAGAAGTAGGAAGAGGAGGAGAAGAGGGGGAAGAAGAGAAGAGGACGTGGAGGTGAGGCAGCCCCATGATATATATTCTGGGAGGTTCTTGGCTGGCCTGAGGAAAAGACGGGTGTGGGGAGGTAGGCAGACAGCGAGGCAAGGCCAAAGACAAGGGTGACGAAGGTTATGACAAATACAAAGAGACAGGTTGACAGTGCGGGCATGACAGGACAGTGAGACAGGAGACAGAGGGACAATGTTTAGTGATAGTCTAATGGGAAAATGAGGAATGTAGGTACCAAGGAGAAGAGAGACAGAGGCTAGATGAGGGACGGACGTAAACTATACTATCCACACACACAAAAGGCTTGGATAGACGCGGGGCTCCTATGAGATATCTTGACCAAACTGTAGCTATAGATAAGAAAACACTTGAATTAACATATGGGCCTACACGAGATAATAATATACACACACGAAACGTCAAACACACACGAATTAACGCACACGAGACATCAAACACACACGAATTAACGCACACGGGACAATGTACACAACGACGAGTGCATCTGATTACGTACACAAGGAGACGTACACACTATGCAGGCCAACACGTAACATCCTTGACCTTTTGATACTGTGACTATCCATCCTCCCCCTCCACCCACTTCCGGTGTCTCTCCATTAATCCCCTCCTTCTTGTCTTATCTACATTCTTCTCTAACTCCTCTCTTCCTCTTAGTTCCTTGATCCCTTCTCCTCCTCTTTCATCTTCATTGTTATTTTTACTTCTGTTTCTGCTTCATCATCATCTACTCTTCACCTCATCTACTCTCTTTTTGTAGAGAAAGAAGATTAGAGGTGGAGGAAGGAAGTTATAGTTCGGAAATTGAAGAAATTTAGGAGGAGGTAAGAGAGGGCGGGCTGACCGCCTAGCTAAGCTAATAGTGTGTTAGGATTGTGTCATGGGTTAGTTATTGTCTGTCGGTACAGGCACTAAACAGCCTACCCAATCCCATATATGGGTGTTTTGAGGGGCTTATTTCGTATTCCGCCGACCCTACTGGCGGATGCTGGTCTAGGGAGGTTGTCTATTGCCTGGCCGTATAGATCGAGGGTGGTAATGGACCTTTTGAGATTTGGTAACTTTTTGAGAACCATGTATGGTTGTTCTCTGGCAGGAGTTTTTGAAGTTCTTGCTCTGATCGTTCTATCTTTTGCCAGACTCTGCTGGCCAGGGTGTGCAGCTACTAGTTGATGGGTTTTTCTCTCCCCTTCATCTCCCTTTCCACCCCTGTCATAGCCTCCCCCTACGTCCCACCCCCGAATCATAAATTCCCCCTCCTTCCCATCCCCCCTTCCATCACCCCACCACCCCCTAATCACCACCTCACCCCCTTCTCCATCTCCCAATTATAACCCACCCCCCTCCCTCTCCACCTCCCATGACCTCCTCCTCCCCTAACACGACCTCCCACGCCCCTCTACTACGCAATTACACCCTCGTCTTGTCTCTCACTACCGTTGACCTTGACAGCAGCGCCCTCACCGTGTTTACTTGTCGTCAGCTGATGGTTCCTTAGGTGTCCCCCCCCCCCCAGGCCAGTCACGGATATACACTTCGCATACACAAACACCTCGCACTTAAACTTTATAAATAGATATAGATAGATAGATATTCAGTCAAATCGTCATACAAGTTTACATTGATTCAGTTTATATATATATTCAGTGCAGGTATACAATATACTGTATATATAAACAGAATATAAATTACGTACACGACCACACACGCACAAACACGGACGGTAATCACATACAAATGCCTCGTCCATCAGCTTCATGCCCCATGAAATCACAGACACCGCGTAATAGCCAATTTCCTATCTTAACTACCGTAAATATATAACATTTCTCCTCTCTCCTTCACCTTCCGTCGCACTGCCTTGCCTTCGCACCTGAAGTATATGAGAAAGAGAAAAAGAGAGAGAGAGAGACTATATCTCCCATTCAAGGCGACAAAATGATCAATGCTGAAAATTAACACGAACAGGAAAAGAGCCACCTGGTCCATGTAAAAAAAAAAAAAACCATACTGTACATACCACGACCAAGAGCGCCACCCTCTATTTACAGTATATATACATATTAACCTACAGTATAGCCATGTTACCCTGGGATCGATATGTTCGGTTTAAACCCCAGTCATACATTTCACACACACACACACACATTTTTAACTAGGTAAATATATACTCAAAGCAGACAGACAAACACACAAAAACAGCCTCCACCAACATCACTACGTCTTAGAGAGTGGACTAACAAAATCAATCAAAACAAAAGTACTAAGAAAACAAAGCCTAATTATTAGCTGGCTCCTCAAAATGATTTCATCTACACTGCTTCCTCCGTATCAACAATATTCTGCCAGTGTAATCATCATCATATTCATTGTTATTAGTCTGAAGGTTCCACAACACGGGCAAGGAGGAGAGTAACCGTGTGCCTGAACCTCGCTTCGCCTCGCCTCGCCTCGCCTCGCCTCGCCTGGTCTCACTACCCCCAAACAAAAAATACCCAAACTTTTTCGTAATGTCAATACAACCATTATTATTATTATTATTATTATTATTATTATTATTATTATTATTATTATTATTATCACATACCTGCCACATTAATTCAACTCCACTACTGTATCTCAAAACTTAAGTTAATTTCTTCTTAACAGTGTACTTTATTGTTGCTGATATTTAGTTTTATTATCAGATATTCTTATAACATGCCTGAGGTGACGACGTCTATTATAATATGAAAACAAAAATTGCTTTAATGTGACGTTAATCTATGCTACTGATCTC